GAGAAGGATCCAGCCAAAAAAGAGAACTACAGGCCAATTTTCTAATGAACATAGACACAAAAATCCTCAATAAGATACTAACAAACAAAATGCAGCAAATCATCAAGAAGACTATACACTATGAACAAGTAGGATTCATTGCAGGGATGCAAGGATGGTTCAACACATGCAAATCAATAAATGTAATATACCATACCATATCAACAGAGCCAAAGACAAAAATCACATGATCATTTTAACAGACACAGAAAAAGAATTTGACAAAGTCCAACACCCATTCACGATAAAAACCCTATGGACAATTGGAATAGATAGTCTTTTGCTCAATCTGATAAAAGCCACCTATGACAAACCAAAAGCCATACTAAATCATACTAAATGGTCAAAAACTGAAAGCTTTCACTCTAAAATCAGGAACAAGACAAGAATGTCTATCACTAGTCTTATTCAATATAGTTCTGGAAACATTAGCCAGAGCAATTGGACAAGAGAAAGAAATACAAAGAAGAAAGGACGAAGCTAAAATATCATTATTTGCAGATGAAATGATACTATACATAGAAGACCACAAAAACTCCACCAAAAGTCTTCTACATTTAATAACCAAATTCAGTCCTATGGCTGGATACAAAGTCAACACTCAAAAATCAATAGCATTCCTGTACACAAATAACAAACTCATAGAGAGAGACATTAGAGGAACAACAGCTTTCAAAATAGCATGGAAAAAATAAAATACTTAGGAATCAATCTAACAAAGGAAGTAAAAGGTTTTTACATTGAAAACTACAGTACTCTGAAAAAGGAGATTAAAGAGGATATCAGAAAATGGAAAGACATCCCTTGCTCTTGGGTAGGAAGAACCAACACAGTGAAAACAGCCACTGTTATACAGATTTAATGCAATGCCAATAAAAATACTATTAGCATACCTCACAGAACTAGAGAAAACAATCCTATAATTCATTTGGAACCAGAAGAGACCTGGAATAGCAAAAACAATTCTGGGCAATAAAGGCAACACAGGGGGGGTCACAATCCCAACTTGAAATTATACTACAGAGCTACTGTGATAGAAATAGCATGGTACTGGCAAAAAAAAAAAACCCAAAACTGACCCAAACATCAACAGAAAAGAATTGAAGATACAGAAACAACCCCAAACACACTCAGCCACCTCATCTTCAACAAAGGGGCCAAATACCTTCACTGGATGAAAATAGCCTCTTTAATAAATGGTGCTGGGAAAATTGGCTTTCCACATGCCAAAGGCTAAAATTAGACCCATGTCTCTTACCAGGCAGTAAACTAAAATCAAAATGGATCAAAGATGTAAGTATTAAAACAGAAACACTAAATCTGCGGAAGAGAAAATAGGTGGAACTTTTGAAGACATGTAAACACTTTATCAACATAAACCCCGATTGAATAGAAAATACTACAAAGAATCAATAACTGGGATCTTATCTTATTAAAAAGCTTTTGCACAGCTAAAGAAATCACCAACAGAGTGAAAAGACAACCCACAGAGTGGGAAAAAATTTTAGCCAGTTGTACCTCAAAGGACTAATATCTAGAACATACAAAGAATTGAAAAAAATCAGACCCTCCCAAATATAACCATTCCAAAAATGGGCATCTGAGATGAATACACACTTCTCAGATGAAGAAGTACAAACAGCAAATAAACATATGAAAAAATATTCAACATCACTGGGTCACTGAAGAGATGCAAATTAAAACAATGCTGAGATTCCACTTCCACAAAGAATGGGTATTATCAAGAAATCAACCAATAACAAATGCTGGTGGGGCTGGGGGAATAAAGGAACCCTTCTCCACTGTTGGTGGGAGTTTAAACTGGTGCAACCACTGTAGAAATCAGTGTAGAGATTCCTCAAAAAACTAGGATCAGAGGTCCTATTGGACCCAGCTGTTCTCCTTCTAGGTATCTTTGGAAAGAATTAAAAACATCATACCACAGTGATATATGCACATTCATGTTTATAGCGGCATATTTTGTAATACCTAAATCTTGGAAACAACCCAAATGCCCATCAACCAATGAACAGATAAAGAAGATGTGGGGTTTTTATACAATAGAGTACTACTCTGCCATAAGAAGCATAAACTTGAGACATTTCTAGGTAAATGGATACACCTTGAGACAATAAATCAGACACACATGTGAATATCTCATTTTCTCTCTGGTGTGAGAAACTGGAAGTATAAATAAGGACCAAAATGTATAATAAATATTGTAAAATAGGAAGAAATTGTTTAATAGGAAAGGGGAACTATGGAGGGGAGAGGGGAGAGGAGAGGAAGGAAAAAGAAAAAAATGGAAAAAAGGATAAAATGGAAACAAAGCTTTGTAGATAAGGAGAAGAAGGGGGTTGAAGGGAAAGGAGAATAGGAAAAAAAGAGAGGAATCAAGATATATCATGGAAAGGTAGAAACTCCCTATAATGAATGTGATCATTATGTGTATCTAAATTGTACCAATAAACTTAATTAAAAATAAGTAAAATAAAATAATATAGATTTACAAGCAGTAACAACCACAAAACATCATATGACATATTCCGAAAAGAAAATATCAGTTTTTAAAAATTTCTGAAGACTATATTCTGGGCATAAAGACAAGTAGGGAAAAATGAGTAAGTTTTAAAACAGAAGATACGTTGATTTCTAAAGTAAATTAGGTTTGTTATATACAATATTGAAATATCAAACCTTAAGGAACTCCATGAAATATGATTATTTTAAATAACCAGGTCAGCATTTCAACATCTAGGCAAAAACCTTTTAAAAATCAATTTTGTACACTAATTTCTCAAAACTGTTAAGACTCAAGCAAAACTGAAAAAAAGAGAAATCTTCAGTTCTTTTGTCCAATTGTCTAGCAATAGAAATTTACCTCACAGAAATATGTCAGAGTTCCTTCACTATGCTAAAATTCAGGAAGTATGACATATAAAGTATGAGAGGTTTCAAAGGACCTGAGAATAAACCTAGAGATTCTTGAAAGCTAACTAAGTATACAGAAGGGTCTATAACCAATCTTAAGTCCCTTAAGTATGTTACACACTTTATTAAATAGCAGTTGTATTTCAATTATATTTTGATTATACTTTGAAAGATCCCCTTGTCCTTTCCTCAATTTTTGTAAGGCGTAAGAACTGGAACAAAAGGAAAGCAGTATGTGCCAAAGACTACTGAGCACTGCAGGAATTGGGCCAGCAAAGATCCATGGTTTCAAAATCCAATCCCTAAACTGGGCATGGTGGCATGCACCTGTAATCCCAGCACTAGGGAGGCTGAGCGAGGTGGATCGCCCCAGGTTGGAAGCCAGCCTGGGCTACACAGTGAGTTCAAGGCAGCTTGCACTACAAAGTGAGACTTTGTCTCAAAAAACCAAAAAAAACCCCAAAAGCAAAACAAAACAAAAAAAATCTACATCTAATCTTTTCAGCAGAATCTAGATAAAAGGAGCATTTTCATTATATACATTCAGGGAGAGAGGATTTAAGTAAAAGAAGATGAGGAGGGGGTAATATTTTCAATCAGATATTCAAAACACTGATAGAATAAAAATCCAGAGAGGTACAGACAGATAAACAGAATCCTGAGGGCTAACAAGGATAATATTTTCAGAAAATAAAAACAATATACTGTTTTTTGAAAAACGAGAAAAATTCAATGAATATGATAAGGTGACAAGAAATAGTGAAGACAAGGAAGTTAAAAGCCTAAATTAAGTAAGAATTATTATCAAATTCAATCATAATTATCATATATAAAAGAAAGGCACTTAAGAGGTTTTGTAATGCCAGTAAGTTTAAGATTTTCCAGGTAGTTTTATGAACTTAGTCCAGGATGTGGTTGTGTCAGTGAGACTAAAAGAAACGGGAGAATTAACAGAAAATAGAGTATGTCAAAAAAACTGACAGGATAGAAAATACCAAGAGTCATGTCAATGGATACTGAAGTGACAAAAGATATTGAGAGACCATGTGGTAAAGCACTTATATGCCAAGCATTGCAGTTATTTGAAGAAAACTAAACAAAATAGTGGAGGCTGGAATAGATGGCTATGAGGAGGGAATACTTAGTCACTATTAAGAGAAAGTCTTAATAATGGTACAATCTTTTTAAATGACAGATACATTTCAGTTTTAGCATAAAAAAAGATTATACTGAAATGGATGTCATCTGGGAAGACATGGATTATGCAAATTAATCTGTTCACTGGCTGAACAAATATCTATCAGCTTGGGTATCAGGAAACAATCGACTCAGAAGAAACTGCTTGTTCCCTAGAGGCTTGCTTGTTTTAAATTTCAAAATTAAAAGTTTATTTAATACAATAAAACCAAAGATCTAAATATATATATGAAATGCTGACTGAATAGAAATTCACATATTTGACCTATTTAAAATGGTTGATAAGTTCAATTTGGTTTGAAATTATTTTTTCTGTGGCATATGTTGAAAATATTAAGTTTTGAACTATTAGATTCAAAAGACATACTCCAATATTAATACATTGGCTGGTATTCAATTTAACAACATAAAGAAAAGGCCGCTGCCTTAGTTATTAGATGACTTTCTCGGAATCAACTTATGGTATACAAGTATGTCATCCAATTCAGTAAAAATTCATAACTTTATAATGGCTCTCATTGAAGCAAGGATGGAAACTTTACAGCTTTTTAATAAAGAGACTAAAAATTAACTAAATTTGACTACGGTAATTCATCAAAATTTAGTTCCACACTGGCAGGTATCTGGCTTGCATTTGGAGAGTTAATGCTGTGAATCTTGTTCTTAACCAACTTTAGATTACCATCTCTCTACTTCCCTTTAAGAAGCAATAAACCTTTACCTATTCTGAGGGAACACAAATTACCTCACAATAAAAAAACAAGAGTAAACTGTTACTTAAAATTACATGTCAAGCTTGCCTTACAATTTAGATATCATCAAATAATACTTACCAATACAGACGTCAATTTTCCCTTTAATAGCAGCTTCATGCAGAGGTGTATAGTTCCAATTATCCCTGGCATTTGGATCAGCTCCTTGGCACAGTAACAGACTCACAACCTCAGCATGGCCAAAAGAACACGCATTATGGAGCGGAATGAGGCCTCCGTCATCACGAGCATGAACATTAGCACCCATCTGCAGTAAGTGCTCTACGACATCCTTCCTTCCAAAGCCTAAGAAGAATGGGAAAAAATGTTTTATACATTAATTCAATTTTGTAAGAAGAACCAAGAGAATAAATACCAAAAATTGCACTGAATTCTACAATGAAAGGATTTTAAAAAAATCAGCTGTGTTCAAACTGATCTTTCATTTCACAGAATCACATAGAACTAAGAAAAGCTCTTCCTTTAGTCACTGGGCAGTTGATTCAAAAAACATTTCTTAATTATCTGTTACATGGTTGGGCAACTGTGCTAGAAATACAAAATGAATGAGACTCCTGTTCAAGGCACTCACTTTCCCCTCAAGCTTCACAAGACAAAATTATATGCACAAACTTCATCTTTTTTTCATCATCTTTATATTTTAAAAGGTTTTTTAAATACTGCTGACAATTGAAGCTAAGAAAAATTACAACACACAACATTACACCAGAAAGCTAAAGAGAGAGGAATGCCAAGTTAACAGAAATGTGGTGACAGTTTAGTTACAGGGGATTCCGTGAAGGAGAACTAAAGATGATGCAAGGATATCTAATGTTAGGTGAAATGGGTGAGTGAAACTATTCGAGATTGGATTTATTGAGGCTGAGATAAACCATAGGGCAGACAAGTGGGAAATAGACATTTGAGAATAAACAATCAGAACACTGACAGGTAAGAAGTATTACAGTTTTCATATAGAAAATAGGAAGCAAGGAGAAGAGTCAAAATCTGAAGCACTGTAAAGGCACTTTGGTAAGAAATATTAAGGAGGACATCAAGGAAGTCAAGAAGCAGTAACATTATGCAAAGTCTTGCATGATGAAGATTTAGTAAGATCAAAAGAGAAAGTTAGTAATTTTAAAGTAATTTTACTGAAATAATAAAATTATGAGTTATAATGCAATGAGTTAAAAAAGGAAATTGCACATATTAGCATTTTTATCTTTATAAACTAGTACCTTTATTAATGATTTTTTCTCACTTTATATTTCATATATCTTATTAGCTAAGTATCACCACCTCCATGCTATTTCTTATGGGGTAATATTGTTAGAAAATGGCATCTCAAATAAAAGTAAAAGGTAGTGAAAGGGTCATATCTTTCTCCATTTTATATTAAAAAAATGAAAACAATTTGGAAAAGAAAAATTTTTTTCATGGTATGTTCTCCATGCTATGTAGAGAAATGCATTCAGTACAGAAAAGTAAGCACTAAGAAAAAGTCTCCAAGATAAAAGATACATTTCCGCGGACATGTATCACAAAGTCAGAATTAGGTTTCTATAAAAAAAAAAATTCCTTCAAATTAAGTTGAATGTTTTAGGTTAAAAAAGAAAGTCAATTTTGCACTAGTTACTGGAACAGCAGATGCAGAGTATATGCTAAAGTAACTGTTCTTACAAAACTTTAAAGATATTAGGTTCTGTCTGATTCTCTGACTGCAACATCCTTATTCCTTCAACCATCACCCTAATTAATCTTCCACTGAGCTGCAGGTACTGTCTTTATCAAGGAAAACTGAATGATTCTTTTTCCCTATGTGGATTTGAATAAAGCCTGGGTACAAACTTACTTTTTTCTAACTAGTGTACTAACAATGCTTGAGAACTATTTTCCTTCCTTCGTTAATAATAAAAGTTTAAGTAAAATACATTTTAATTTATCAATTGGCATTTTAAAATATTCATAATAATTATGAAGCAAAATAGGAAAGTGTGTTTGCTTTTTATTACAACTTTTAGATTGAAAATATAAAAGTGCTTGGTATTAGGCAGAAGGTAGTGAAGTAGAAGTATGCTCAAACACTGATAATGTGAATAGAAACTGGTACCACACGTTAGGAAAAAATATAGCAGTAGCAGTTATCATGAATCGGCTTAAACAAATACACCCTCTGACTTACCAATATCATTTTTCAAAATTTATCAAAAAGAATTCTTCATAGATGAGCAAAGATTTCACAGCAAGAATACCACAGCATTACTTATGGAAAAATCATGGAAACAATCTAAATGTCGAACAAATGAGACATTGTTTTCAGAAAATGAAGGTTTTTCGTATATTTTCCTGTATTAAAAGGGATGTTGTAGAATACTGTGAATATATTTGATACCAATGAATCATATACTTAGAAATTATGAAAATGTTAAATTGTTAGACATATTTGTCACAATAAAAAACCCCACAAATATAAACAATATATAAAAGGAAAAAAAGGATGTTATATAAAACTTAACAAGGAAAGGTGTTTAGATTAAGCAGTCTCAGATTAAAAATATACAAAACAGGGCAGGGGATTTAGCTCAGTGGTTCCAGCGCCTGCCTCGCAAGCGCAAGGTCCCGAGTTCCATCCCTGGAAAAAAAATATTCAAAACAAAGTACAGGAGAAAATATGTATTTAAAATTAAATGAATTGAAAAAAAGACTAGTGGGATTATGAAATTTTTTTTGTTTTTCTGTTTTATACATTATCATATAAAAGCACATCTTAATTATCATATAAAATCTTTATGACCAGGAGAAAAAGACTTTATGTGAGTGGGCCTGTTACCGCTCTAATCTTACTGAGTTTTACTCTTTCACTATGTGTTCTTTAAATATGATAAACTTGATCTAGCCCAGAGGATTTTGTACTTGCTGTGCATCTGTCTGAAAACATCAGCTCCAGAAATTCACAAGTCTACCTCCTTCTGTTATGCAATTCTCAGCCCAAAAAGAAACTCAAGGACACTTTCACTGATGACCAACTTAAAGCCACTCACATGCACACATACCTTCTCATCACCACTGTTACAATCATCCTGCTTTAATTTCCTCTTGCACTCAATCACTACATGAAAGTGATACATTATCATTATCTACAATAAGCTTTACAAAGAGGCAAAGAACTGCATTATTGATTTAATTTTTTGGTTCAGACACAGACATCTATCACCTAATGACATTTCAGTTAACAACAAACTGCATGCATGTCCCACAAGAGTACATATATCATCTAGTGAGGGTAGAGCCATATTTGTTTATATAAATATACTCTTATTATTTTCACACAATGACAAAATTGTATAACATATATTTCAGAACATGTCCTCATCATTGAGTGATGCATAACTGCACTTGATTCATTACTCTTGAAAATTAAATATATAAATACAGTTGAACTCCCAATCCTAGTGCCTTTCTTCTCCCAGAGAAACAATTATGTAAGTGTAATATGTATTATATCATACATGTTTTAAAACTTTATACTATGCATTTTTAAAGACATGTATGTATATACTTTTATCTTTATGTATATATTTCATATATTATATTCCATGCTATTAGAATATATTAGTCATATTTTTGTCACTATCATATGGTTCAAAAGATACTGTTAGCTAGAGGTTGAAACTGTGCCAAGAAAACCCTCTTCTTCTTGGCCAAGAGAACTCAGTTTTACTTGGGAACTGGGAATAAAGTCATATGTTAAAAGAACTGAATCCCTTCCTGGTCCATAGAGTGAATTCTGATTACTCTGAGCCAGTCTGGAGATTTCATTCCTCTATGCTAGTGAATGTCAGTTAGACAAAAAGAAAAATCAAGAAGCTTCTGGGAAGACTTTTTTCCCAGAAGATAAGGTTTGAAAAAAATCTTTTTCTTCTCTTCTCCTCCCTCTCAAATTTTAAAAAATTCAAGAGAATTATGAAAATACTGACCTAGCTACATTGGCCCTTAGGCACTCTGAGTGAAGGTGATGCTGGACTCCCCTCCCTGTTCCAGCAGGTGGTGCAGCTGGGGCAACAGGGCTCCTGTACTTTGGCCCTCAGGAGTTTTGGTGCAAGGGACTTCTGTGTACGTGGGGGGTAGCAGGCTTAGGCGCCACCTGATGCCACTGCTCTCTCAGAGCTAAAAGACACCCACTCAAAGAGAATATTGTTAAAGGAATTTCAACATAAGAAGGTGTCTGTTGTATATAACCTTCCTGGCACTAAAGAAACCTGTTTCAGAAAGTTGGAAGACAAATTGACCCAGAACAAATTCATAGGATGAACTGAGAACCTTGCTTCATTTGTGTCAGTTCTGGGATGATATGGAGCTGGCTAAGAACATCATTTACCTGTACCACACAAAGAACAGAAATGGCACTTTTGAGGAATACAACAAGTTTGGATCAGTTTTCATGAAGCTGTATTACATGTTGGATCTTCAAAAATCTGCAGTGGAGCTCATCAAAGACCATTCTCCTGAATAAAGTGATGGTATTACATCTTAAAATAAAAAAAAGACCAACATCTCTGAGGTTTCTCAGATTCCATACCATTCAATATTTTAATGGATAAGCCACTTACCAAGTGCAAATATGAACGTGCATTGGAAATATTGACAGAGGAAAAATTAGGATGTGAAGTTCACCAAAGATACCTGTGTCCTTGCTTTTGGGATTTGCTACAAATTGAATACCCCAGAATCTTTTAAAATCTATACTACATTAAGAGAAGAAGTGCTAACCAAAGAACAAGTTCTTTCCAGTAGAGCATCCTGTTTCACTGTGGGATTAAGTCTGAATCAGAATCAAGTGGCATTTTGTCTCACTTTGTCCATTTTTTCTCAAATCATGAATCCAGAAGCATAACCTGCACTAATTTAAATATCACAATCCATATCTAGTCAAATATATTGGAAATTCTGATAGAAATACTGTGTGAGGAAAATCTAAATTTATAACAGCCTGAGTATATTTAACAATTTTCCTTATTCTTTTTATTTTTATTTTTATTTTTGGTACTGGGGGGATCGAAATGTGAAGCAGGCTGTGGAACCACTGAGCTAAATCCCCAGCCCAACAATCTTCCTTCTTCTAATGTTAAAGGATAACAATTAAGGCCATTCAAAAATGTTTCAATATCAAATATGAGGTCACTGATATCTATTCCTCAGGTCTGAGTTTAAAAACAGAAAAGTATTTCACTTATATTCAGCATTTTAAACTTGCCTAAAATTAAAGCAAGCTTCCAAGAACAACTCAGCCAATATTAAGTCTTTAT